TGGTGTGCTGGGGGGGCTGCTTTGTCTCTGCTCCCCAGCACGCAGCTTAGTGAGACCGGGGCCGGAATATGACGTCATATTCCATACGCGGACTCATTAAGTAGCGTGCGAGGGTGGGGGAGCAGAGACAGCACAGCTCTCCTTACGGCTGCCATCACAGCTCTCCTTGCGGCCGCCTGCACGACCCCCTGGCAGGTAGTAGTAATGTGTGTCAGTGTGAGTTTGTCTTTTTGTCTGTTATGGTGTGTCTGTCTGTCTGTGTCATGGTGTGTGTGTCTGTCTGTCATAGAGTGTATCTGTGTGTGTCTGTCTGTCTGTGCCATGGTGTGTGTCTGTCTGTCATGGTGTGTGTGTCTATCTGTGTCATGATGTGTGTGTGGCTGTCCGTCATGGTGTGTGTGTCTGTCTGTGTCATGGTATATGTGTGTCTGTCATGGTATATATGTGTGTGTCATGGTGTGTGTGTCTGTCTGTGTCATGGTGTGTGTGTCATGCAGTATGTGTCTGTCATGGTATGTGTGTTTCTGTGTCTGTCATGGTGTATGTGTGTGTTTAAAAATAGTGTTTTACTCACCAAGCTTGATGATCTCAGCCAATCTAATGCTTTGCCATAGGATTGGCTGCAAAACGCTACACCAATTAGCATCTCCTCATAAAGATGCATTGAATCAATGTATCTTTATGGGGAACATTCAGTGCCTCCAGAGTGTGGAGGCCCTGAATGTAGGTGCTGCACAGTGTGCAGCACTGACACAGGAAGCACCTCTAGTGACTGTCCGAGTGACTGTCACTAGAGGTGTCACTTTGAAGCAATGTAAACACTGCCTTTTCTCTGAAAAGGCAATGTTTACATTGAAAAGCCTGCAGGGACAGGCTATAGACACCAGTACCACTACATTAAGCTGTGTGTGTGTGTGCCCCTGCTAGTGAGTGAGCTTGCTTGCATGTATGTCTGTGTGTGTGCCTGCTCGTGAGTGAGCTTGTGTTTTTATGTCAATGAGCTTATGTATATCAGTGAGATTGTTTGTCTATGAGGCTGTGTATCAATGAGCTTGTGTGTGACAGTGAAATTGTCTGTGTCTGCATGTGAGTATGCTTATATATATGGCGCAATGACTTATGGGGCTGGCATAAATTTGTTTTCCAGGGCTGCTTTGTATCCCCAGTCCGGCCCTGGATGCAGCCACCTGTACCACCTAATGGTTTTGTCAGCCCTGGGAGCATTCACTGTAGACCACATTGTCCATCAGTTTTGTCATTGCATGCACCGCCTGTCAGGAGATCTTTTGAACTGCTTGCCAATCCATGCAAGCAGGGTGCCTTCTCAGAGCCAGTGCTCCATCCGAATGCCTGATTATCCTAACAGTAACACTACATTTAAACACACAAACACTGTTCAGTCCTAATTAAAAACCTACAAGAATGGGCAAATGGTAGATCAGAAGATGGCAAAGCATTGTGGGACTTGTACTACCTTTGATCTACCTTTTGACAACCCTTGTGATAGGAGGTCCCAGAAAATTCTTGCACCAGGGCTCTCATTACTTCCACCACTGGGGGATGGGCAAAATTCAGCACTCCAGATATTGTGGACTACATCTACCCTGATGCTTTGCAAGCATTATGGCTGTTAGAGCATTAGGGAAGATGTATTCCACAACATTTGGCGTTCTGAAGGTTGCCTAATCATATACAATGCATATATAAAGAGGGCCAATTTGTGCTCCGGTGTCCCTTTTTTTTTAATTTGACAATTTTTATTATTTTGTCGATATAGAAGCATAAATAACATGGGGGTACAGAAGAGAAAATGGGAAGTGGGAACGTTCTAGGACAAATTTTGTTTAACAGTATACGCATATCACCAGGTCTATTCAAGTAGACATTTCCTTACATTGGTTACATTTCATTTTGTGACATGTTATGATATTATGCACTATATGTATCTCTAGGTAACCAATGGTATTGCTTGAGGACAGCCGTTGTCCATACTTAGTATAAGACAATTACTTTGAAGTTTTGTGTTTAGAGTTTCAGGTATTGTGGTTTACACATTTAGTGGTGGTATATGCGGTGAGCTTTATCGTTTGTCTCATCTTAGCCTAAGAACTAGAAGTGATATATTGGGTGGGGGGATTAGAACTAGTGGTAGAGGGGGGTGGGAAGAGGGGGGTAAGTTTCGGTCTTATCCAGTAGGGAGGTGCTTTAACCCAACAGTATGTTCATATCATGATAGATAGGAGTTTGTTATTAGCCTATGTTGCGTTGCGTTCAACCTGTGAGGTCTTAGGAGTACATCTGTTTCGTTGATTCCATGCCTCCCATTTATTACATGCTATGGGCCAGAAATCTTTTGCTGTTCATGCTCCTCTTGCTGCTTTTTCATATTGTTTGGTAATGTCAACCATCTCTATGCATTGTTGTATGCTAGAGGATGTGGTTTTCAGCCAGCTTCTACTTATAGCTGTTAAGGCTGTAATGATAATATGGTATGCAAGATATGCATCCTTTCTGTAGTGTTTGGGGCCACGTAAGTAACAGATAAGATGTTGGTGTGTGTGGTAATTTTACACCTGTAGAACCTTCTATGATGTCTGATATTTCTGACCAGAATGTGGTCAGTATCGGGCATGCCCACCGGATATGTGTCATAGTGCCAGGCGCTGCACCAGTCCATCTTGTGTATTCTAGAGGGCACCATGTGCCAACGATATAGTTTTTTCCTACTGATTTCGATGTGTGCTGTGTGGTTAGTGTGAGTGTTTTGTGTGCTCTCTGTGTTTGTGACCATTCCTCAGGTGTTAGGATTTGGTCGATTTATTTTTCCCATGTTTTTATAAAGTTGAGTTTTTCTGTGTGGTCGCTTTGTCTGATCAAGCCATACAGGGTGGACAATAGTCGTTGTGGTGGTTTCTTTGCCATAACTCTGTGAGCGTATTTTCCTGAGTCTGTGTGTTGTCGTAATGTTTGTTTACCCACGACTTCATTTGCAGATATGAAAAGGAGGCTGTGGGTTGGAGATTGTATTTACTTTTTAGTGTGTTGTAATCTATCAAAAGTCAGTTTTCCAGTACCTGTGACAAGCAGAACACTCAGTGGGAGCTCCATGTTTTATAGTCGAATCCTGGGATTAGGACAGTTAGCGCCTGGAGTTGGAAAGCCTTGGAAATTAGTGTTTTGGGATGTTGTTTTTTGTCCCACACTTTGAGTGTTGTTGCTGTGGTTGGACTTATGTTTTTGTAGTGTGGTCTTTTGTCTGCAAGTATCCAGGCTAAAGTAGTTATAGCCCCTCAGAGTTTACCGCTTTTATTTGGTTCCACGCTAGTGTTTTTTTTGTGGTGGTGTATATGTACTAGTGTGCCTATTGCAGCTGCTTCGTAATATCGTGAAATGTTCGGCACACCCATTCCTCCATTTTTGAATGGTTTATCAAGTAGTAATCTCTACCACTATTCTGGCTCTTCTCCCACCCCATATAAACCCATTTAGAAATCGTTGGGCATCTTTGAGGAATTGTTTTGGAAGAGCAATTTGCAAGGTTCTAAAAAGGTATTGCAGGCGTGGCAGCACCATAATTTTTTCCACTGCAATTCTGCCTATCAACGACACATATTTCCCCTTCCAGCTCTGCAATTGGGTTTCTATCTCACGGAGGAGTTTCACATTATTGGCTTGGTACAGTTTGTGTGTAGTGATGTCGCGAACCCGGCAAATGTACGCGAACCGGCGAACCGCCCGAAACGCCATTGACTTCAATGGGCAGGCGAATTTTAAAACACACAGGGACTCTTTCTGGCCACAATAGTGATGGAAAAGTTGTTTCAAGGGGACTAACACCTGGACTGTGGCATGCCGGAGGGGGATCCATGGCAAAACTCCCATGGAAAATTACACAGTTGATACAGAGTCTGGTTTTAATCCATAAAGGGCAGAAATCACCTAACATTCCTAAATCACAATCAATATGGATTGACACCTGACATATGACATATTGACACCTTGACATATGGATTGACACCTGTCCTCAGAGCCCCTGATGCACACGGACACAGAGCAGAATAGAGACTGGTCCCCCTACATAGGGTCACTTGGCAGATATGGATTGACACCTGTCCTCAGAGACCATGATACACACTGACACAGAGCAGAATAGGGACTGTTCCCCCCTACATCGGGTCACTTGGCAGATATGGATTGACACCTGTCCTCAGAGACCATGATACACACTGACACAGAGCAGAATAGAGACTGTTCCCCCACATAGGGTCACTTGGCAGATATGGATTGACACCTGTCCT